GTTAGTGACATAATTGGAGCTGTCAATTAATTAAGAACCCCAAAGGCTGATAATATACATAACGAGACAACAAGAATGATGACTAACTTCAGCGGGGGGTGATGCCATGGATTCTAATGAGTTGCTAACCCATGAATGTGATGTTCTCATACACTGTGCTCTGGGTGGAGTGCTTAACAGAGAGAATGCCGGGAATGTGAATGTGTTAAGACACGAGGTTCCATCGGTCAACCTGTTAGGAGGAGTAACTCATGTGTTAATATAGTACGTGTTTAATTCTTCCAAAGATTTCCGGTGTGGGTTAGTACATAATACTATAAGAGAAGCTGCTACCCAGCCTACTGATCCTGAAGCTGATGAGATATTGTCTAAAATGTGGGATGGGGTACGTGCATTCACTTTGGGAGTCAATCGCCTTGCTCGTGCTAGTGCATGTCTTGAGGGGCTGGGAATCTTAATTAATTCACTTTTTTTTTTAATTCACTTCCTTGCCTTTTTCTTCTACATAAGTCTAGATGATTTTCTTGTTCTTTTTATCAAGTACGCACGATATTTCACTGACAATTTGGAGTATACGATACTATGTGTATGTGACTCATTTCAAATACATTGTAGACAGATTACTTTGTTAAAAATGGTAGGAGTTCTTCACCTATATATTACTGTTCTAAATGATAAATTTTAATTTATGATAACAAAAAGAAACATAGAAACATAAAGAAACAATAAAAAAAAGTTATCAACAAAAAGAAACACAAAGAAACATAAAGAAACAATAAGAAACAAAAAGTTATCAACAAAAAGAATTGAAACACAAAGAAACGATGTAGATATTCAACGAAAGTACAATTAAATAGTAATAATAATAATCATAATAATAATAACTAAAATATATACCTATTTTTAAATATGTATATACAATACCCCCAATAATAAGTTTCTTAATTAGTATTTCAGTAGTTTTTTCATATTTTTATTTTTAAGGCATTAATATTCAACAGTTTCTGATTTAATTTAATTTTCTGATATTCATAAAATTCTAAGAATCTTATTTTTGTTTTTATATCTTTTTTTTAACTTATATTTTCGAGAATTTATATGGATTTTTTTATAAAAATTACCTTATACTGTTTTAAATTTGTTTTTTGTTTCTCTGTTACATAGTATTTTTATACTTTTTTTGTTTTTCCTTATTTCATAATTTTGTTTGGTTTTTTATTAATACACACACACACTTCGGAGTAATTAGTTTTTCCTAAAACATTTATCTTATTTTAGTTTTTATAAACTTTGATAATTTTTCAGGTTAAGAATTTCTTTATTTTTCATTACTTTTGAATTTAGTGTTTTCTGAGTATAACTTTCCTAATTTTTTTACATTTTTTACATAATAATAACTTTTAAATTTCCAACTTTCAAAAAAAATTGAATGATCAAAAAAAAAATTGAATTATCAAAAAAAAAATTGAATGATCAAAAAAAAAAATTGAATGATCAAAAAAAAAATTGAATTTTAACATAGTTGGGAAGAATTTATATAATTGAGTAATTCTTAAAGATAGTACTGGTATTAGTTTGTCACATATACGATGTGGAGAAGGAACCACATATGTACAATGGATAGATACTCTTAGAGCATCTCCAATGGTATAATGTGCACGTTGCACACGTGGCATGAAAGATAGCCACATAAATATTAGAAAATAAATTCTCTCTCCTTGGTTGAAAGATTTTATACAATTTTATTAAGTTTTTCTCCACAATGTCTAGGAGACCGTCTAAATGTTGACATCGCAGTTGACATTACAGGGGAAAAACTTACCAAAATTGCAAAAAAACATTCAAATAAGGAGAAATAATTTATTTGCCAATACATGTGTGGCTATCACTCATGTCACATGTGCACCGTGAACATTTTAGCATTGGAGATATTTTGCAGGGCAACTAGTGTGATATTATTTCCACGTTTTAGTCCGTTTGTGATATTTTTCCAATAAAATTTAGAGTAATCAAACCAGACTATATCAAACTAAAACAGAATAGATCAGAGCAAATTACCAAATTTCAATCCACACGAAAATATCCTAACTAAACATTATTAAACATGTCAAAGGAGGCAAATCGTGCTGTATCAATACTCAAAAATATACGTTGTGATCATAGGATTCTCCAATAAGAATGCATGAAATAGGAAGTTACCAAAAACAATGTATTTATGAACTCATTAATTGGTAAATTATACCGTACAGCCGGCTGTACGGTGAGCACCGTACAGCCGGACATTTTTGTAATTAAATCGTTTCACAGCAACTCTCCGGCAATTGGCGGCGAAGAACGGCGGTTAATAATTCGCTGAAATCTCGTTTCTTCCAATTTGAAGTTCGATTGCTCCCTTTCCCTTCACGTGCAGGAAGTAGCTTGAGAAACCATTCTGTATTCCTCAATGGGAATTTACAGTTCGAATGAACAAATGAAAGGAAATTAAAGGCCGCCGATAATCCGATATAGTGGTGTCCATCTTTCTCAGCCATCTCACGAAAAAACCTCAACCACATCACAATCATGAAGCTAACCATATCATCAAATTTTCCACTTCTACAGACTTATCTCCAAATAATTGAAGCTCGGTCTAATTTAATTCAAAATAAGAGCTCGACTCATTGAGTTCAGCGTTTTTGTTGCAGGAGTCATTGGGGACGACACTTAAGGATCATAAGTTGTTTATGAATATAAAGTATATTAGAAATGAGTTTTATTTTAAACTCAAATGAGTATAAAGCTTAAACTGAATGAATATACACAAATGAGTTTTTTGTTTTTCTGATACTCATTTTGAAAGTTGTATATGCTCATTTGGTATATGTGTTCTGCTCATTAAATTTTAACATAAGACTTGATTATAGATGCATGAGCTCAAATAATGATGCTCAACCACATTTCATAAGTTATATATGTTTAATACTCATAATGCTCATTATGCTCCTTATATATGTTTAATACTCATTTCATAAGTTATATATGTTTATTTGGTACCTCCTTATGCTCATTTTTAAATGTTGTACATTTCAAACATATCACACTACATTAGATTTTACATATTGAAATTAATTGGAATTGAATACAGACGTGTGATACTCATTTTGTAAGTTATGTATGCTCATTTGGTACTGCTTTATGTTCATTTTTAAATCTTTCACATTTCAAACATATAATCCTACATTAGATTCACATATTGAAATTAATTGAAATTCAATATAAACATAATAAGAAATTTTTATAAACGAAAAAATAATAAAAAAAATTGAATTGGAAGATATAAAACAGAGATCGTTGGTGCTCATTGTTAGCCTCCTAATACTCAACAGAACAGACTCGATACTCATCAGAATTGTATAAATGCTCATTTAAGAGAAACCAAGATTTTAACCTAAAATTACAAATTTGCCACCGTTTTTTTGTTGTCATATCAACTTTCTTTTAATAACACGACGCTCATTATTAGACTCGTAATACTCATTATAATTGAATTATTTCTCATTAACATTACACTAATGATCATTTAGCAGAAACTACAATTTTTACATTATATTACAAAATTGCCACCAGCTGTACGGTGAGCACCGTACAGCCGGTTGTATCGTGGACGGATCCTCATTAATTATTGTCGATCAAGAAACAAACTTATTATTCCGTAACTAATTTCACGTTTCCTACACACTCCGCATAGATATAAATCAATATAAATGGGGTGCGAAATCTTTGATTGGTTTCGGTCGAGTGCGAAATCTTCCCTACCCAACAACCCTTAAATTCATTAAAATATGTAGGGAGCTTCACGTCAATGGAGAACCCCATTTGCACGCTCTGTTACAGTTCGAATGAAGGTTTTGCTGCACAAACAATAGATTCCTCGGCATAACAGTCTCGGGTAGGTGGGGTACGTTCCGCCCTAATATTCAGGGCGCAAAATCCGCGACGGACGTAAAGGAATACATCGAGAAGGAAGGAGATGTCTGTGAATGGGATGAATTCCAAATAGACGGACGTTCCGCCAGAGGCTGAATACAGACAGCCGCCCAAGTGTACGCCGAGGCATGAAATACGGGTTCTAGAGTTGCAGTTCTTCAGGTAATCAAAGAAAAGGTCCCCAAATCCTTTACATTACAATACCACAACCTAACGAGCAACTACGAACATATTTTTCAGCCTCCAGTTGTTCCATTCGTGTCAAGGTGGTCACTAGATTCATTCGTCATACCGGACAGTCTTCAAAATTGGGTCAGGGAAAATATTTTCCTTCCCGATTGTTCCGTTGCGCGGCCAGATTGACCTAAAAGCATAATAATAGAAGGGCCTAGTAGGATAGGAAAAACTGCATGGGCCAGATCACTAGGCCCACATAATTACTTAAGTGGGCATTTGGACTTTAACAAATACATCTACTCAAATGAGGCCTGTTACAATGTCCTGGATGATGTCACGCCGCACTACCTAAAACTAAAGCACTGGAAGGAATTAATTGGAGCCCAGAGAGACTGGCAGACCTATTGCAAATATGGTAAGCCTGTTCAAATAAAAGGCAGCATTCCATCAATCTTGCTGTGCAATCCTGGGGAATGTTCTTCGTACAAGGATTTTTTAGAGAAAAAGGAAAATGTGGGTCTCCGTGATTGGACATTAAAAAATGCAGAATTCGAATTTATCAAGTCGAATATGTTTATTCGGAGTGGGTGACAGCTGTACGGGGACAGAGAATAACAGTCCCGAAAAATCCGGGATAATATATTCCAAAAATATAAAATCCAGATTCCATTCTAAAAGCGGTGGATTCCGAGGAGACGGAGAATAGATCTCCCCTGCGGGTGTAGTTACTACCTCCATATTTCCTATCATAAATATAAATTTTTGCTCCGGGGATACGCTCACTCCGGAACAATGCAACAGAGGGGTATACATATGGGAGGTACCCAATCCTCTGTATTTCAAGATCACGGGACATCTGTGACACTCCGAAAATTTTATAAAAAAAAATATAAATAGTTCTATTGATCAAATAAAATGTTTCAAAGTGACATGCACATAATTAAGTGAATTAGATAAAATTTTAAGAAAAGTGAATTCTTAGGATAATGTAACAAAGTAATGATTTTCTTTTCATAAATAATGTGGAATAGGAGGAAGATTATTAGGATTGATAGTTTAAAAGATGTTGATTAATACAATTAATTAATACTATTTGTACAATCATATATGACTATAAATAATGCACATGTTGACTTTTCAACCTAATTTACCCTATACGCACGTACATATGTAACGTATATACTCATAAACTTGTACAAGGAAACTCATTAAACATCGATATTGCCTACCATATTTACTCGCACATGCGTATACTCGTATATATAGCGTCCAGATACATTCCATCCGGAGATTTTCGTTCAAGGCCGGAAACCCGGAAACTAACTTAAACGTGCGAAGCTTGGGGATAAAAATCAGCCTGCGCGTAAAAATTGGATCGCATAAACTCAAACACTTAACCAACCGGATGATATACACAGCCTAGGGTATCCCCTTATCGGTATAAATATGTTCTCATTGGCCTGCAGTTTCTCCATTCAACACTTCGGCCGACACATATAGATCTACAAGGGTTTTCCTATCTTTCTTTATAACAACACAAAAAGAACTATAAACGCTTCCAAACCCTTCTGCCGGATGAGAGAAAGCGAACGAAGCAAGAAGCCCTGAAAACGATCGTGAAACGAGGGATAAATCGTTTGCCGGAGTCTTGCCGGACTGATCTTCACGTCGGAAACCCGAGGAAGCAAAGCTGACGTATCACATCCTTCCAGTCCATTGCCGATCTTCACCATCTTCAAACACGCCGCCTTGCCACTCGTCCGTTGCTGCAGTAGTAAGTTAACCTCCACTCTGCATCTTTTTGTTGTTTCCGGCGTTCCGTGAAGAAGTCGACGCAGGGGTAGGCCTTTGCGATCGATCCTTCTCAAAAGAAAAAGGGGGCCGGATCTGATTTAATAAAGGTTGGGCCGTATTTGATCAAAGTTGCAGTTGGATTAAAAATAATGATTTGAAAATGAATAATAATAATAATAATAACAACAATAATAATTGTTAACTGGATTGACCAAGTGGACTCGGATATTAATTAATAATTTATTAACATAATGATAAAACAGATTGGACCACTTAATCCATTAAGAAGTAAAATTATTGATATTAGAATTTTAATATTCTTAGAAGGTGATTTTTGGTGAAAGATGGAGGTAGAAGAATTTTGCTAGGAGTACTTGAAGTTTGAGGTAAGTTTCATTGCAACCAAAATTATACCTTTTACCTCGTAATTATTTTGAATGTTTTAATGTACAATTTGAGTAATGTATTTATGTGTATTAAATTTGAGTAAATGTTATTCTATATGAAGTTGTTTGTACTTGATATATTGGTTTGTTATTATTGGATTTTGATACAAGTTATTGTATATGATTTTTGGGAGATTTTCTATTGGTGAATATTTTGGTGCTGTTGTGAGTAAATTGGATTTTGAGAAAATATATGGGAATTTTAGCGTATTTTGAAAGATACGAACTTTTGATTAAATTTTGAAAAAAAACAAAGAAAAGTTAATATTTTAATGGTGACACTAATGTCTATAAGACATAAATATTGATTTTTGAAAAAAAACAAGATAAAAGACTGTTTTCATAATTGGGGCACCACGGGAGAAATCCGTAGGTGTCGGGCCACCTTCACGTCCGTTAATGGTGAGGGAGGGTTAGGACTACTACTACTTGAATTGAGAGGTGTGAAACAAACTAAATGAATTTTGGAGGGTTCGGTAACCATCCCGAACAACTGGGCATTAGATCCCTTTTTATTAGAGCAGTAGTAGTAGTACCTATTCTCTTAAGGGTCTTTGAACCTAGAACTTAGGGAGCATATCCCATTTGGAGTAGGGAGACGTTGACGTCAGAACTACTTAGACTTCATACTACTCGGAGGGCTTGGAATCCCTTTAGGGGGTGTGCACACTTAAGGTAGAAGTCTAGATTCTAATAGAGGAGATGTGGTACCGAGAGCAGATCGGAGTGACCGTACAAAACAACGGATCACTGGGCTCAAGAATCGAGATAACGCTTGAGCACCGCCCTTCTAAATGAACTAGGAGAATTAGCTATAAAGCTATTTTGAGGTAAATCAAATGTTTTGGTATTTTATAAATTGTGAATTACTTAAGTACAAATACTGGTGATATTCGTTTGGAAAACATATTTGTGGATATTGATTATGTGTTTTGTAAGGATTGTGATAAAGTGATTAAGTGAGTTTTGAGATGGATATTTGGAGTTGTGTATATGATATATGCTTTGGAATATTTATGAGAGTTTTTATTACATTTTCTAATGTTGGAATTATTATGATTTGGAATATTATTATTTTACATATGAATTATGTTATGAGGATTTATTATAAATATTGTTTTACTTATGATTGGTATGAATGTTTTGAAAAGATTTTCCTCCCAAATCTTTTGCAAAAATTTTATATATGTATCAAACGTGATTATTTTACGGGGTTGGGTGGGACTTACTTAGCATTTCCGGCTAATTTTTGTTTCTTGTTTTTCTTTCTTTTTCTGCACCTTATTTGTGCAGGAGATAAAGGTTGAGTATCTATTTGATGACGATGTTGATTCGAGAGAGATTCCGCTAGAACACCTAATTAGTAAATCATTGTAATTCAATTTTTCAATATCTTTAGTTAGTGAATATCTGTTTTTGGAGTTAAGTTGTTTTAGCCTGTGCACTCGGTTAGGGGAGAGCCGAGTGTGGCGGTAACGCCCCTATTTCCCTTTTGGTTTTCGCTGCATAACTCTGATGTTTTTCAAATAAAGTTGATATTTCTTTTAAATAAAGTATTATTTTCGGGTGGCAAATTTGGGGGTGTTACAAGTTGGTATCAGAGCAATGGTTTTCCTGGGACATTTTTCAAATCGGTTTTCCAAAAAAAAAAAAAAAAAAACCAAACAAAACCTTTTAAACGTTTCCGAAAAGTTTTCTCAGATATAAAAAAAAAATTGTTACTAGGTTTTAAATGCTTTTCCAAGAAAAGGAACATAGGAATAATAACCGGTTTGAGGAAAAAAAATGATTAGGATCGTGGTGAGGATTGTGTGATTTTTACTTGTGTGATTTTTATTTGATGTATGGTGCATTGTGAATTTTAGTATTGTGAAATTGTATATGTGCTATGGGCCCATATGAGAAAATTGGAACCCCGAAGAGGTGGAGATTGATTTTATGTGCAAAAACTTTGATAGATATATTTCCTAAAATTCTTGATGGGTGAGGTATGTAACTTTTATGATTGTTTGAAATATAGGATACGTTGATGGGTGGGGTATATATGATCCTTTTGAATTCTATAAGTTGAACAAGGTTCTAGAGTTTGTGGCATTCTGGTAGGTGTAGATTATAATACACCGTATTAATGAAACATTAGAAATCGTTCGTTCTTAGCTTATGCTTCGGGACGAATCATCTTTTAAGGAGGGTAGAATGTGACACTCCGAAAATTTTATAAAAAAAAATATAAATAGTTCTATTGATCAAATAAAATGTTTCAAAGTGACATGCACATAATTAAGTGAATTAGATAAAATTTTAAGAAAAGTGAATTCTTAGGATAATGTAACAAAGTAATGATTTTCTTTTCATAAATAATGTGGAATAGGAGGAAGATTATTAGGATTGATAGTTTAAAAGATGTTGATTAATACAATTAATTAATACTATTTGTACAATCATATATGACTATAAATAATGCACATGTTGACTTTTCAACCTAATTTACCCTATACGCACGTACATATGTAACGTATATACTCATAAACTTGTACAAGGAAACTCATTAAACATCGATATTGCCTACCATATTTACTCGCACATGCGTATACTCGTATATATAGCGTCCAGATACATTCCATCCGGAGATTTTCGTTCAAGGCCGGAAACCCGGAAACTAACTTAAACGTGCGAAGCTTGGGGATAAAAATCAGCCTGCGCGTAAAAATTGGATCGCATAAACTCAAACACTTAACCAACCGGATGATATACACAGCCTAGGGTATCCCCTTATCGGTATAAATATGTTCTCATTGGCCTGCAGTTTCTCCATTCAACACTTCGGCCGACACATATAGATCTACAAGGGTTTTCCTATCTTTCTTTATAACAACACAAAAAGAACTATAAACGCTTCCAAACCCTTCTGCCGGATGAGAGAAAGCGAACGAAGCAAGAAGCCCTGAAAACGATCGTGAAACGAGGGATAAATCGTTTGCCGGAGTCTTGCCGGACTGATCTTCACGTCGGAAACCCGAGGAAGCAAAGCTGACGTATCACATCCTTCCAGTCCATTGCCGATCTTCACCATCTTCAAACACGCCGCCTTGCCACTCGTCCGTTGCTGCAGTAGTAAGTTAACCTCCACTCTGCATCTTTTTGTTGTTTCCGGCGTTCCGTGAAGAAGTCGACGCAGGGGTAGGCCTTTGCGATCGATCCTTCTCAAAAGAAAAAGGGGGCCGGATCTGATTTAATAAAGGTTGGGCCGTATTTGATCAAAGTTGCAGTTGGATTAAAAATAATGATTTGAAAATGAATAATAATAATAATAACAACAATAATAATTGTTAACTGGATTGACCAAGTGGACTCGGATATTAATTAATAATTTATTAACATAATGATAAAACAGATTGGACCACTTAATCCATTAAGAAGTAAAATTATTGATATTAGAATTTTAATATTCTTAGAAGGTGATTTTTGGTGAAAGATGGAGGTAGAAGAATTTTGCTAGGAGTACTTGAAGTTTGAGGTAAGTTTCATTGCAACCAAAATTATACCTTTTACCTCGTAATTATTTTGAATGTTTTAATGTACAATTTGAGTAATGTATTTATGTGTATTAAATTTGAGTAAATGTTATTCTATATGAAGTTGTTTGTACTTGATATATTGGTTTGTTATTATTGGATTTTGATACAAGTTATTGTATATGATTTTTGGGAGATTTTCTATTGGTGAATATTTTGGTGCTGTTGTGAGTAAATTGGATTTTGAGAAAATATATGGGAATTTTAGCGTATTTTGAAAGATACGAACTTTTGATTAAATTTTGAAAAAAAACAAAGAAAAGTTAATATTTTAATGGTGACACTAATGTCTATAAGACATAAATATTGATTTTTGAAAAAAAACAAGATAAAAGACTGTTTTCATAATTGGGGCACCACGGGAGAAATCCGTAGGTGTCGGGCCACCTTCACGTCCGTTAATGGTGAGGGAGGGTTAGGACTACTACTACTTGAATTGAGAGGTGTGAAACAAACTAAATGAATTTTGGAGGGTTCGGTAACCATCCCGAACAACTGGGCATTAGATCCCTTTTTATTAGAGCAGTAGTAGTAGTACCTATTCTCTTAAGGGTCTTTGAACCTAGAACTTAGGGAGCATATCCCATTTGGAGTAGGGAGACGTTGACGTCAGAACTACTTAGACTTCATACTACTCGGAGGGCTTGGAATCCCTTTAGGGGGTGTGCACACTTAAGGTAGAAGTCTAGATTCTAATAGAGGAGATGTGGTACCGAGAGCAGATCGGAGTGACCGTACAAAACAACGGATCACTGGGCTCAAGAATCGAGATAACGCTTGAGCACCGCCCTTCTAAATGAACTAGGAGAATTAGCTATAAAGCTATTTTGAGGTAAATCAAATGTTTTGGTATTTTATAAATTGTGAATTACTTAAGTACAAATACTGGTGATATTCGTTTGGAAAACATATTTGTGGATATTGATTATGTGTTTTGTAAGGATTGTGATAAAGTGATTAAGTGAGTTTTGAGATGGATATTTGGAGTTGTGTATATGATATATGCTTTGGAATATTTATGAGAGTTTTTATTACATTTTCTAATGTTGGAATTATTATGATTTGGAATATTATTATTTTACATATGAATTATGTTATGAGGATTTATTATAAATATTGTTTTACTTATGATTGGTATGAATGTTTTGAAAAGATTTTCCTCCCAAATCTTTTGCAAAAATTTTATATATGTATCAAACGTGATTATTTTACGGGGTTGGGTGGGACTTACTTAGCATTTCCGGCTAATTTTTGTTTCTTGTTTTTCTTTCTTTTTCTGCACCTTATTTGTGCAGGAGATAAAGGTTGAGTATCTATTTGATGACGATGTTGATTCGAGAGAGATTCCGCTAGAACACCTAATTAGTAAATCATTGTAATTCAATTTTTCAATATCTTTAGTTAGTGAATATCTGTTTTTGGAGTTAAGTTGTTTTAGCCTGTGCACTCGGTTAGGGGAGAGCCGAGTGTGGCGGTAACGCCCCTATTTCCCTTTTGGTTTTCGCTGCATAACTCTGATGTTTTTCAAATAAAGTTGATATTTCTTTTAAATAAAGTATTATTTTCGGGTGGCAAATTTGGGGGTGTTACAACATCAAACACCGACGTCGGTCACGGAGCTGGACTTTGTGAACATACAAATCAGGTTCAACCACAACGCCAGACAAGCACTAGGATTACAGAAAGCGTGGATATATTTGACGATCTGGACGACATTGAAGCCATCGACTTCAGAATTTGAGAATAGATTTAGGTTCTATGTAATGCAATATTTAGATAATCTAGGGGTTTTGGGTATTAATAATGTAATTAAGGGTATTCAGTATTTCGTAGACACGTTTCAGCGTTACATTGTTGATGTAGAACAAGCGCAAAATATTCAGTTTCGAATATATTAAATACAAATAATTTATTCATTAATATGTGCATAAATTATTACAAAAAAAAATCAACTACACACACCAATGTCTAATGTACGTACTAGCTAAAATCAATTATTGACCGGCACCGTCGTTGGATGCTGACGTGTCCTCCGGTTTACCGCTCTCAACAGATACATGCAACAATGCATCCGACAGACGATCTAGCTCCACTTGTAGAGCATTGTACCATGTGATAAATGCAACACCGTGCTTTAAGGACGAGGCTGATATGTTCCGGAGTAAAATACTAGCTTCTCCAATAAAGCTAGTAATTTCCAGAGTTAACTCCATCAGGCTTCCAATTTGTGAGACAAAATGTTATATGCTTCAACTATTCCCCACAACCTTAAATAAACTTCGTGGGGTGGTGCGGATTTTAAGGAAAAATGAATGGTTGGGGTGATCTAGGACCACCACTTTGTTAAAGTGCTCTAATCACTCACTTGGTATGACTCACCCTGTTCCCCACTAAAACATCCATGTGTTCGACTTTTCTCACATCAAAGGTCCACCGAAAAGTACATAACCCGGCCACTCACGTGGGCCTGTTAATGGACCTACTTTTTAAAAAGACTAACATACCCCTCGGCGGGGCCCATTATATAAAGGGCGGGGGAGAGCATCTCCAATGCTAAACTGTGCACGGTGCACATGTGGCATGAGTGATAGCCACATAAATATTAGCAAATAAATTATATCTCTCCTTATTTGAATGATTTTATATAATGTGAATTAAAAGAAAAATAAGCTTAGTCTATAATAGAGCCTGTTTGATAAATAGGGTTGGGTCCTAAACGGGTCGGAGCCACATATACATATCATACCCGACCCATTTAATTACGGGTCCAGGTCCGGGTAACGGGAAAAAATATAGACCTGTTGAGGTTTAATCCCGTAGATCCGAAAGCCCAACACTTGCTTTTAGGATATATGGGGATGAGGGTTTATAATATGGGGATAAATGAAATATAAAAGAGTGAATCGAACAAAACTCAGAAGCTGAACTTGTATTAATATTCGGATTACAAGAACTACCCGAACAGCCTGATGGTGTAGTGATTTCTTAATACAAGAAGAAGGAAATAATCTATCTCTAAGCTCTGAGTAATGAAATGCTAACCCTTTACAATGAATTAAATGCGGCTATTTATAGCAAAGAAAGGTAGGTGGGAGGGGCACGTGGCCGAACCCCGTTGGTTGCTGCCTCTTCCGCCATGTTTCCAGCTTGTTGCTGTCTTTTTGAGGTGATTATATCTGGGTGCCCCGTTCGGGGAGCAGGGTCCCCGAATAGGGATCATGTGATGTACTTGTCCTTTGTTGATGAAATGTCCCAAACGCTGGTCAGGTAACTTTTCTCTGTGTAGGGTAACTCCCTGTTCAACATAGATATTGCGGGCTTACTTCAAGTAGATTAGATAGTCCGAATACTGTGCAGGCTTGATTCTTCATTTGAGTACCTTCTTATGTACTGCTCCTGAACGCGGATCAGGCAATTTTATCTGAGTGGTGACCTTTGTCCATATAGTTGTACTTTCGTTGATTTGCTTCAAGTAGGCTAAATAACCCGAATGCCATTCGGGGTGTTTTTTGTCGGGCATTGGACCGGAGGCTTCTGTTGGGCTTTTATGAATGGAATGGATATTGGGCCTGGACCTAATATCCCATCACAAGTCCCCCACTTCCTATGTCTCGAACGGTAGTGAGTGCATGAGGAAGTAGAGAACTTTTATGCCCTGAACACCGTCCGGGTACTGACGTTCGAGATCTCGCTGGTTCCCGATGAAATCTTTTGGCGGTTTCAGACGGCTGCTGTTTCAGTTTTTTATAATCGTCATGATTATTTGACGGGGATCCTCAGCATGACACGTGCCTCCGCATTGAATGCTAAGGACGTGTCCTTTTCCGGTTGGCTTTCGAAGAGGTGTGATAAGTGATGGTCCCGAATAGAGGTAAAAGTCTAGAGGGGGGGGGGGGGGTGAATAGACTTTTAAAGCTTTTTCTAATTTTAAAACACTTTTCTTTCTAGATAAGTTGATCTATAATCTTTTAGGAGATTAATAGATTCACAGCGGAAGTCTTTAACCTCTTTATACTTAGTGTGAGATAACTTTCTAGTTTGAATGATGTTTGGACTGGTTATAAGTAGAAGCAGGCTTGGCAGTTGGCTGGTGAGCAGACTACTGCTGAGGCAACTGCTGGGTTGGCAGTTGGCTGGTAGGCAGTTTACTGCTGAGGCACCTGCTGAGAAACAGGATGACTCTTGGATGGACTTTTTGTTCTGGCTTGTTATGGAGTTTGGAAAGACACGTATGGATGGGCAGTGGGCTCAGCAGGAGGGTGAAGACCAGGATAATGCTGAGACACCTTTTGAGTTTAAGACAACTTCTAGTGGAAAATACTCTCAAGGAGAGTGAGTTATTAAGCAGTAGGCTAAGCAGTAGAGTCGATGAAGACTACTGCTTTGGATGCTGCTGGCAAACTACAAACCTTTAGTGAGATGTGTTTAGTGTGTACTCTGTATGTATGAAAGTAAATCAACACACGATGTATACTGGTTCAGAGGTGGTGTAATCCTCCTACATCCAGTCCCATTCTATTTCAAATGGATTTCCACTAAAGTATTCAACCCAATACATTTAGTGCCAATCTAGCCTTGACAACTCTGGCCTAGATTGAAGGCGTTTCACGAGGAGTATAACACCACTCCAAGTTACTCAAACCTTAAGACTTTTCTCAATTGATCCAGTGGGGATCAAAAGGTACTCTATCTATCTAACCACACTATAGGATCCGAACAACTGTTCTCCTAAGTGTTTACAACAACATGAATTGATTCACGAAGTTTCTGACCGCCAACTAAAACCTAAGCTCTATAAATGTTACAATGAATGATCTAGTCTAAGAGCTTAGTGAAACATGAGTCAAAGCAGAGTGTTCAAACACTTTTTCTTTTGCTGGATATTCGTAGTGTAATGACTGAACCTCTTGCTTTGAACTCAATGACTTACTTTTGATCTCATGCTTCTGCCTACTTTTATAGGCATCTCCAGTAGATTAATTTCCTCCGTTGGTTAAGAGGATTTAATCCTAGAAGTCCAAAGTATTGTACTTGCGTCTTCTTGTGTTGGAGCAGGATAAGGATTTTGTCTTTGAAGGCCACTTGCTTTGTACGAAGATAACTGTAACACCGTCCCCAAGTATATTTACTTTTATGTAAATAATGTATTGAACCTTACCAAGGGATTAATGAATTTACGAAGTTGTAAATTTTTATTATTTCTTTCACGTGAATAGTAAATTGCACGTGGGACCCACACCGGGAGCGGGGGCCGCCCGATATTTCCGAGATCACATAAATTATTCTTATGGGTCGAAATAATATTTATATAGGGGTGGGTTCGGTTTATGCGGTTCGGTTTTGACCTAAAACCAAATGTAGAATCAAACTAAAAACTTCGGTTCGGTTCGGTTCGGTTTGTTCATATTTTTTGTCCAACCACGGTTGATTCGGTTCGGTTTTGTTCGGTTCGATTTCGGTTTTTTCGGTTTTAAACCAAAAGACACATACTTTCTGAAAAAAGAAATGACGTGCAATTGTGCAAAATAACCAAAGTGCAGGAAAATAAAACAAAAAGTACTGAAGAAAGTCAATTCCTGTCTTACGAGACGGGACGAGAGCTTTTTTCAGAATGACTACAATTTAAATAAAGTGCACTAAACATTAGTGCGTGACACTTAAAAGTTAAGCGTATTAAACTTGGATATAGTGCAGCAAAATAAAATGTAGTCTCAACTGAAATCAAAATGAAATGCAGTCCCAAAGGGAGATCCGCTCATTTTTGCTTCACATCTTGAATCGAGAGAGCAAAGTGGAGAGCGGGTATTTGTGTGGAGGAGTGATCTATTACTATTATTATTATTATTATGAAAAAGCATTTTATTATTATTATTATTATTATTATTATTATTATTATTATTATTATTATTATTATTATTATTATTATTATTATTATTATTATTATTATTATTATTATTATTATTATTATTATTATTATTATTATTATTATTATTATTATTATTATTATTATTATTATTATTATTATTATTATTATTATTATTATTATTATTATTATTATTATTATTATTATTATTATTATTATTATTATTATTATTTTCCCTAGTCTTTTTTTTCGTGTTTTTTATTCTTTTATCCTTATATATATAAACATTATTTTTACCCTTTAAATTTTATCATTTTTATGTATATTCATTCCGTTTTATATAATCTTTTTTTATAATAGCTTATTTTTTAATATTCATTTTCTTTCTTTTTCTTTTGGTAATGATATCATGTATCGATTCATGTTAGCCGACCCCAATTTCATTTGAGACTAAGGCTTAGATGTTGTTGTTGTTGTATCTTGAATCGATCTACCATGTCTTCGACGGCGGCTCCTTTTTTTGAGAGCTAAGCCTCTTACATTTTAGGTTAAAAGATTATGGAGTACTGGACTCGTAAAAAGTCTCTTACGCTTTCGGTCTTGAGCGTTGACCAGTGACCACATGACCGGCCATATACTCCATATAAAATAAATGATTTTTTATATTTTTAAATATTTCGGTTTTTTCGGTTCGGTTCGGTTTTGAGGAGTCAAAACCGAAATCGAAACCAAACATGTTCGGTTCGGTTCGGTTTCTTATGTTCGGTTTCGGTTTTTCATCGGTTCGGTTTATTTGGTCGCGGTTTGATTCGATTCGATTCGGTTTTCGGTTTTCGGTTCTACGAACCCACCCCTATATTTATATGGTGGTGGACATCTTATTTGGGCCATGGGAAGGCCTGGGGTTGACCGATTGGTCAAAAGAAGCCCAATTACCGGTACTGACAATTAAACATATAACAGCCCGAAAATGAATTTCGGAGACTTCTAAATTAATGTTTTGAAATATATATTATTTCAAGAGGCCATTACGAC